GGGCCCTCTGCAATCGTCCCGCACACGCTACCAAGTACATGGTCCTGCCCATCTGATCATAGGCTGACCTGGGCTGACTAGAATGGTGTCTCTGCCGCTGCCCAAGCCGTTGACAAGCGAAACTTTTGCTCAGGTCCTAGCCTCTATGTACATATGTAGGTGCGGCTCTCCATTGCGTTCCGCGCTGTAAACCGCTCTCGCTCTGCTATTGGCGTGGCCTGCGCAGGGTGGCGCGCCAGGGGGTCTCGTTCCCCCCCTCCCCGGCCGGTACAACCAGAAAACACAAATCAGCACTAGGAACATTGTCTAGGTAGGCATATGTATTGCCTATGATGAATGCAGCCATATCATTAAACTATCAAGCTGTGTCTCGGGTGCCTTATTGTGCTACATTCATTACGACGCTACCACGAGGAGGCCAACTCCCTCCAAGTCGACGTTGAGCGATAGGAAATTCACGGCTGTGATAGGACGAATGTTGACTGCGGGGGAAAAGGTGGACTGATGAATGGAGCTGATGTCTCGACCTTTCTTCCCCAAAGCTCGCCCCAAAGCTCGCGCCAAGAATGACGGAGAGGATGGGGGTCCTTGGGGAGGTGGAAATCATGAAATGCGCCATGACTCTGTCCAGGCTCTGTCCAGGCTTTATCTCTGCTCGCTGCCGTCCGAATCAAATGGCATCGTTACATTGAAGCCCATTTTTTCTTCCGAGTTCGCCAACGTTCAATGGCTGTGCCGTCCACTCGGGCGGGACTTGGGCCAGCTTGGGGGAGCCTTGGAAGCTTGGCCGAGTGAGGGGGAAGTGTCTTTGGATTGGCCTTTGGAGTTGCTTAACTGGGGCAGAAATACGGGCTTTACGAAAGGCCCATCTTGGCATTCCTGATTCTTGCCAACACAAACAACTTGGGAGACAAGATTCGGCCACAACCCACAGGCGCCATGTGGTCACATGGTTCGAGCCATCTCCATGGAACCCAAGGGACTCACAGTACACGTACGGGGGTTGTCTCGCCTGTCTATCGGAGACAAGAGCATTGAGGGGCTTGCAATTCTGCTTTATTCTGGTACCCGTGATTCCTCGCCGTTGCTGTGCGCCTGGGTGAAGCCCTTGCGTTGATCCAATGCTAACAGTAGAGGCGGTTTCAACTAGAATATTACCGGTCGCCGCAAGATCGCGAACAAGGTTTGTCATTTATCGGCCCGTGGCTGACAATGGTGTTTGTATTATCTAATAGGGAGCCATATCTGGTAGGTAGATGAGGCTCTACCTGGCAGTCTGAAATGTAACATGCCAGAGTTGAACCACTGACGAAAACTGTTAGCGCTGTTAGGAGCTGTACCCAATCCGACTTGTTTGCCCGTCAGCCAGAAGTGGCGATGATTCTGCTATTTTGCAGCAAGCTCAGCGGTCATAATAGCAATGCCTAGAACGCCAGTCTACGGATTTGTGCTAGTGGTGAAGTTGAGAATGCTCCGCAGCGTATAGTCAAATTCAAGCTCAGTCCAAGCTGCCTCAAGCTTTTTCTTATGGTGCTTGTTCAAGACATCCCAAGACCCCAAGCTTCCAAGATACCGTGAGTGGTGTGAATGCCCCTCCCTCGTCTCCCGTCCAGATCAGTATTAGCTGCGGGCAGAGCTGCGAAGCGCAAACACAGCCTCCCTTGCGCATCTATTAATCACTTGCATGATCAAACATAGTCAATTTAATAAATTAGTGGAACTTTGCATCTTTGTCTGGACCTCTTGCTATAACATGGCACTTGGATTGGTTGCCATTCGCCCGAGAACGTATTATTGCTCGGAAGACCCGGGGAGAGGAAAATAGCTGCCCCGCCTTTTTGTCTAGTAAATACAATCTAAAATAAGCACGTATTCGACATCACCCGCTCCCAATAGCTCAGTTGGAAGAGCGTTCGGCTGTAATTGTTCCATGATACCGAAAGGTCACCTGTTCGAACCAGGTTTGGGAGATTATATCTTTTTTGGTTCGCTTCATGATCCATCCATAGACCTTCCCTTGCACCCCTTTCTCTCTCTGTGACGACAGAACATCCTGCTACCTGCTACGGTACTGCGAAACAATGTAGGCGGGTTTCGGTTGAACAGCGCTTCTGCTCACCGAAAGTCTCCCATTCTACCTTATAGGTACCACGCGTCTTTGCGTGTTTCGGTCCGGGGAGACTGTACCTTGCCTTCCTTATAAGCGCCTCGGAGTATGGCATGGAGGCCTATCAATGTAACACCGCCTCGCCAAGCTTTACGGCTTACATGAGGCGTTGAATACGGTTTTGTCGTCCTTTTATGTCTCACATAACCTATTCTCTGTTCAAGACTATTAGGAGGCTTGCTTTCCTCTATCTGTGTTTGGTGATCCCCGGGCGAGGATTCATACTTTGACCTAAATCGGCCCGGCCCCTGTGCAAGTTAGATTTAACAAGTCTCTACTAATAGAAAAGAAGAGCATTGCTTAGCTGTTTGAGAAGGGCTGTCCCTGTTATATATCCGCGAAGACAAGGCAAATCCCTTGTTTTCCAGCCAAACCTCCAAAATGTACAGCCTTGATCCTGATAAGAGTAGAAGGAAGCATTATGATATCACACATAAGAGCTTCCCGTCTTCTATCAACAAGAGAAAAGACCGGCAATGCTGCTGACAGATTGACTCGAAAGTAGAAAGACACTTGCTAAGCCAAAGCTCGTTGGTGGCAACGACCCGTCTCAGACCTCAAGGTGGCGCCTGGCCTCACATGGTTTCCTCACCTTGCAAAACGTCACTCTTGTTAACCATTTTCGATGAGTTGAAGGACACGGGTACGGGACTCTAGACAGTTGAGCGAAACCTTTCTCTTTCCATTGTGCGTCATTACAGGTAGCCAAGTCTATCCTGCTTCCACACCACCCCCAGCTTCCAGCCTTATGAAAACTCGCGGCTTTTGGCTTTCGTCTTTAATCAGATCTTTCTCATCATGCATCAAAAACCTTACATTATCCTTCCATTTACGCCCAAATCTGCCTAATACCATGTGAGAGTTGTGACGAGTGTGAGATGTGCGCAGACCGTACCACTTCACCAGACGTTCCTTGCAAAAGAAACACAAGGATCTAAAAACTGGTAGCCTGTACTTCTGTGAAGATAGATCAGGATCGCGGGCTAATCTGTGTTCTCTCTTCCTGGACTGAGTGACCCTCACCGCGTTTCACCTTCGAGGGCTGCCCGAGTGCGGAAAGGGAAGGCGTTACGCACTGATCAAATGAGTCACATTGCAGGCAAATCTCCACGATGATGGAGAGGTCGCTGTACTACGTGAGCTCGCGGGTGCGGTTGAAGGTCCCGAGAACCTGACCGTCCGGGAAGCCTCAAAGGCAAAACCCCGTCAACAAGCTCATTGACAAGGATTGACCAACCTACTTGACTAGACATGCACTACCATACCAACTGCGCTATTGCGAATTATCCCGAAACCGCCACTTGACTGTAATTCGAAGCGCGCCTACTCTGGCCGATCTACACACACGAAACGGCTTTCGGCTGGTTGGGAGTTATGTCAATTTTGAAAAGTCGAAAAGTTCTGAAGGACAAAAGTCGTACTATCATTGTGATACATCACGAAGTTGTGTACCAACCCACCAGAGTCAGGTCTGCGTAAGTCATCCTCACACCGGGCTTGAGAGACCTACTCAGCGCTTTATATATGATAGGCTGTAGCTGTATTTTCTTCATCGTTCGACAGCAATCCCTAAGGGGAAACAGACATGAAACGGATATGACAGCATCGAGAAAAGGAGATTATCTAGTAAATTGAGCATCAAGTTGAACGAACGCCAGCCAATCAGTCGAGAACAATCTTGGGCGAGCTCGAGGATTACTTTCGCATTTGGAGATAGTGACCTCTCACTGATACTTAGAGTCTGTCTCTTGTCAGCCTAGCTTTTCTAGCCTAGGCAATAACCTGCAAAATAAGGCGAGGCAGCAACTACGGAGGAGTCGACCGGTCACACAGGTTGCTCTGTTCCTAAGGCTATCGGCACAGCGCTGCTTTACACGCGATCTCTGTGACAATAGGTAAATGTGAAACAGTGCTGTCGTAGCTCGGTTGCATCAGAATGGGAAGCGTGGAGCATGCGAGTGCAAATGACGCCTAGCGAGATATGTGAAAGAAAATGACAAAACGCTAGTTGATGATACTCCTTCGGGTAGGATTACCAAATCACTTTGACCGAATCTCCCAAACCTGGTTCGAACAGGTGACCTTTCGGTATCACGAAGCATTTACAGCCGAACGCTCTTCCAACTGAGCTATTGAGAGAGGATTCATGGTCCGACAATGTTTTTTTGTGATCTCTAACGTTTGGTGCTTGGTTGCGGGTCAGCAGCAGCCGTAGGGCTCTTGGTCTATCTACGCGTAGTGGATACGACAGCCCACACAGGTTCAATATCAACGGCATGCGGATGGTACAGGATGGGAGCGAACTGTTATATCGAATCCATCCAATATACGTAAGCATTTGTCCGAGAGTGTACTAAGTTAAAACATGAGAAAGGAATATGCATAACTGGATATCTCATGAAAATCACCTCGTCACTATCACCCTCCTGATACGTACCGCCGCTACCCGCAATACTCTTTTTGTACACCCACCAAATTGCATGGTGATAGCTAATTACTCGAAATTCGTAGATGGTAGTTGTGGACAGTCCATCCGCAGCCGATGCGGATAGGATACGAATTGAAGGGGATCAATGCTCCTGACGCCGGATATAGTCTTTGGGAGTCAGTAATCGCCGACCGAGATGGGAGTAGGCGTCATATATAAAGGAAGAAACTAGAAGATATAGAAACTCGTTGCAGTTGCAGCATCAATAGAAGGTCGCCTTGAAGGTCTAGGTAAGAGGCATTTGCCGTATGGCCAAAAGGTGCGTAATGTAGGGGTGTAAGGAGGTATACACATGCTAAGCTGCATTGTAAAAACATATTCAATTCAGACAAAAGTTAATGGTTGTCTCCCAAACCTGGTTCGAACAGGTGACCTTTCGGTATCAAGGTAACAATTACAGCCGAACGCTCTTCCAACTGAGCTATTGGGAGAGGCTTATCGATTGATGATTTGCAGGGTCGTTACCGCGCTACATATTCATAGACGATCATCACAGATTCGCCTGCTTTCGGATCGATACCCCACCAACGTTTATGTGGGCACAGGCAAGTGCGTACAGGCAAATGTGTACTGCACACATGCACTCTGTCTTATCATCGTCCATCGAAAAGGGAGGCCGAGGCACGTTCCTGATAAACGACAGAGTCTATGAGCTTTACCATTGCCACGACAGCTCAGGCCGTATGATGAACAGCGCCGGCGCTGACTGTGATGCTCCCAAGCTCGCGGATCCCGTAACCCCACAATGTGTACTGCACGTAACTTCGTTTTCAGTGCCGAAGTTGGAACTAGGTACTACCCCATTATTTGCATCGCTCGTAGTATCTTGTCTTTACCAGTACCGCCAGTACGGCCAGGTTTTCTGGTTTTAAGACCCTTCTCTGCAACATTCATAATATCGAACCTAGATGTATCATTGTCTCGAGATTCGACAGACTGTCGGTTGATGGCTCGTCTGTCTGCTGTCAAAGGAGTTGGGGGACTCTTATGATACTACCAGAAAGAGAAGAAAAGAAGCCCGAGGCACCCGAAGAATATACCAACGAAAGCATGCGCATTATTCATATGTCCGTGGGAAGGAAGTAGACGGGTTTTGGGTGCGTGGTAAACAGGAATGTACATTACCACCACGACAGGTAGGTACAAGATGGGTGAGCTTCGTACAAGTTGAAACCTCAGAATCCCGTCCGTCGCTTAGGAAAATTGTTTATGATCATCATTGTACTCTACCTAGATATTTCAAACGGAAGGCTCTATCATTATGCCCGCTGTAAGGAGACAAGCTCATTCGTCTTTCTACTCATCCGCCCGCGAAACACCACCACCACCACCACCCATAAGCTCGATCATCCTTTGTCCACCGTCCGCTTGGAACTGCAGCTGCATCGCATGGTAGGTATGTTCAGCATCTTTCCGTGACCGCTCAAACATGCCTTTCTCATATTCCGCTACTAGCTCTGCGAGATCCGGCCGATTCTCCCGAACAGCCGCGACGATGCCGTCAGCCAGCTCCAACGCGTCCATCATGCCAACATTTACGCCGACGCCCGCGAACGGCGTCATGAGATGTGCTGCATCGCCTACGATCGTAATGCCCACCTTCGACTCCCACGTTAAGCCCACGGGGAGCATGAGAAGGTGTCGCACTGTCGAGCGCTCCGTCAAGCTGAGCAATGCTTCTTTCGCTTCGTCGAACCACTCGCCGAAATGGCTCTCCACGAAACGTTTCCTGTTACTTGCATCCTCCCAATCCACATCCTCCCCTTTCCCCTCTATCCCAAGCAGTCGTTGCGCCGAGGGCGGTGTTCCAGCATCCGGCGTGCGCACACACGCGTAGCACCGTGCGCTGCCGTCGCCGTTGCGCTGGAAAAGCAGCGCGGCCTCCGAATCAAAGATGAAGCAGTTGCAGCCGCCAACAAAGTCCGCCGTGCGCGGTGCCGTGGCGTCGACGTCATCGCACCACGTATCGAGGCAGCTGATGCCGCTGTACTGGGGCTCGACGCTCGTCAGCAGCGGACGCACGCGCGACCAAGCGCCGTCGGCGCCGACGACCAGATCGTACGGCTGGGACGCGCTGCCGTCAAGGAACGTGATGGTCCACCGAGGCGTGCCGGGTACGCGCGCGAGTGACGCCACGCCGCTATTCCAGTGGATTGTGTCCGGAGGTAGGCTCTCGACCAGCAGGTCCTTCAGTGCCTTGCGGTCGATCTCCGGACGGTCCTGCACGAGCCCATCATCATTAGGATTATCTTGACCTCTGGCGGGCGGCTCGCCACTCATGTCTAGGAGAAGTGTCCCTTGCTTGTCATATATGCGCATCGCCTCGCCCTCGGGGCGCACGATGGACTGGAACTTATCGAGCAAGCCTGCGGCAACAAGGGCGCGCTGGCCCGATGCTGGGTGGATGTCGAGAGTACCCCCTTGCGCCCGTACTTGGGCGTGGCTGTCGCGCTCAAATACCGTGCAGGTGATATCATTGTGGTGTAAGATACTGGCCAAAGTCAGGCCAACTGGCCCGGCGCCGATGATAGCGATCTTGGGGGCTGTCATGTTGTCGTACGGATGAATGCGGAACCGCTTAGCTCTAGTAAAGTAGGTGATTTATGTGAAGAATGGCTCGTATGACATGTGATGCGTACCCTGCATGCTTTGGGAGCTGGTATGCCATTTGATATGAGGGCAACTGGGCATATATATATGTCCCGTTTGTTGGAAAACCCCTGAACATGGAGGCAGGCACCGACTACAAAAACGACACCTCTAGGTATTCACGGCCCCGAGAGACTGTACAGTAATTCTTGGGCATCACATCATGGTCAGACCCGTTTCGGGCCCCGTATGAGCTATGTACAGCCTTTCACTCAAAGGAATTGTGTAGCTGTTAAATCGACACAATCTTGCCATGCGGATGATCTGCGAAGTTCGGCTGTTTCTACGGGCCGGGCCTTGATGTTGTCGCAAAGTATCGGGTTCGGGCGGCTTGGCTCGGGACCGAACATCAAGCTAAACATCTTGGGGTCGCAATATCCCTTTCTCCAGTAGAACCATCCGAAATCAAGTGCATTGCTCAAGCTTAATTTATTCGTGCTATTTGCCATATCAGATGTAGCCCTTAGCTACAGCAGGCCTTTTTCTGGCCCTGACACCGATTTTTGTAGAACTTCCCCACTATTTGAACATGACTGACAGGAGTCTGGGGGGTATTGATACAAGATTGTACACACGCCTTACTTGAAAGTCGGTATAGCCTCTTTCGGCACTAGCTACACTTCCTTCCTATATAACCTGGGTAGCGACAGTCCCGATTGGCCTCTCCACAAATTCCATGATTCCCTCCACGATGTTCTTGCGAGCTGCGTCAGAGGCTACGTTCTTGCCAGCTAGCCAGTTGAGCCAGAGCAGGCGAGAGAGCCTCTCTTCCTCTACCTTTCCAAGAGAGCCTATACCGGACTTGCCATCGTCGAAAGTGACGGTCAACACTCCGGTTGAGTCACGGCATAGTAGCATTTCCTTGCCTTTGGGCACTTTGCCGCGGTTGAACAGGTTTTTAAAGTCCTTCATCGCCAACCCGAAAGCTTCGTCGTTGTATTGTGTGTTGTCGCCCTGTGTCCGTGCAGTGATTGCGCGCACAAAGCCGTCTCGCATGTGATGGAAGTCAGTGTCTCGGACAGGTACAATCCGGAATAGGGACCGCGGGCGGGCGTCTCGCAGGATGGTGTTCCACAGCTCTTCACCCTTCTCAGGATCCAGCAACGCCTTACGCAATTCTTCTTTTTCGCTAGGGACCAAAGTTGTGGCAATCGGGTTGATTTCCTTTACCAATCGAGCTTGGACTGCAGCAATATCATGCGTCGCTACATAGTATCCAACCATGTACACACGGATGCCCAAGAAGCTGACGGTCCTTACTCCTAGGCCAACCAGTGTATACTCCACACCGTTGACCATCTCTTGCCCATGCTCTGTGCCAAAAGACAGTGCTAACAGTCTTGGAAAGGTAGGAATCGTGCTGTCTCCCGTAGGAACAATTTCTCGGCCTTCGGCATCATGAACGACGGTCTTGCGCTTGGAGCCAGCTTCGGTACTGAACGGGTCTAGTTTATCGGGTAGGCCGGAATCGAATTTATTGGGTTTACGTCGCTCGAGAACTATGAGATAAGTTGTGTAGCAGATGGCTAGAACGCCGGAAATTGCGCCAGCCATAAGGAAGTTTCGGCGACGAATGTAGTACTCGTAGGACTCATGTCGCATTCGATTGACGTTAAAGCTCTCAACAGCTCGGAAAGAGCCTCTCTCAGGGCGTAGGAATGTTCGGCATTGTATTTGGCCTGGCTGAAAAGTTCTCGATCGGGCTGCCGTCGATCTGAATACGCAGGCTGGTCGTGACGCCAAAGAGCGAAGCGAAGGCGCTACCGGAAGACAACGGGCACCCCTCATTGCAGGAGCGTGTTTGATGGACGTGAAGTGACTATAACAGTTACAACGAGCCGGAAAGATAAGGCTCGGGTATATTATCAATGCATTTGACCAGGACAATTGACAGCGTTGGTACTAGCAACCCGAAGTCAAGATCGAGTTGATGAGACACAGATTCAACGGCAAAGCCAGCAGGTGTCTGAGGGTACAATGCGTTATCAAATTGAGCGAGCTGCGATACCTCTATAAAGCAGTATATGCTTTAAACCAGTGTATGACGAAATCCGATTTTGAGGTCGCCTCCAAGCTTTATTCACATCTGCGTCGTATCAGGTAAAGCTGCCACTACAGGAAATTGTCCACTATTACTTAGCGCACGAGTGATACTGATGTTACTTGGAGACCGACGGTACATATTCCAAGGGGAAGCGTATTTTTATATAGGTACGCTCTAATGTTGGGGGTGGTGGTGAAGTACTGATCAGGGCGGTTTTTCTTAAGGCTTCTACCCAGAATGCCTAGTCCTCGTGATAACCTAATCATTGCAAAGTCATGCGTAAAGATGCTTAAGCGCACGTCTCAGAAGGTATCACTTATAACGTTGTCCCTCAACTGGCAGTACGTCACGAGGATTGTTGGTATCCAGCTTTTTACCTCATTACGCCCAACAATGACCGAGAGAGGTAATGCGTTTGACCGGAGCACCTTCATGGATTGTATTTGATTCTTTGATACATCTCTGGTCAACCATCCCTCAACTTAACAGATGGTGGCTCATCAATCCTGATATCATACTGTGTCACCTTTCGGATACCCCGGCCGCTTTCCACCTCCCGACTCGTTGGGCTTTTGAGCTCGATGTTTTCCAACATGTACTCCTCGCTCGTATTATCATTGGTAGGTTGCCGGCCTTGTACCGACGTCACTCGGGTACAGAGCTTTTCTCGGTCTCCTCTCATAGGAGTCCAACCGCTCCTGCTGGAGTTTCCGGTTGTGCTTCCCTTGTGTCCTCGAG